GGGGGTTGGGGGGCGCCCCCCCCCTCCGCCGCCTCCCCTCGGGCGGCGGCAGCCCGAGGAGGTCGCGGATTGCTCGGGTAGGGCCCGAGTTAACCCGCCCGGAGCCGCTGCAGGGGCCGGTTCTCACCGTTCACTTGGCCAGAGTAGACCGACCCGTACGATGCAATGGAGAGGATGGCTGAGCAGGGAGCCGGCTTCTCAGCTGGCGGTGTAAATTTTTAGTACGCCCGGGGATCGCCTGCTGCCGCTTAGAAATGGTCATCGATGCCCTATGCCAGCAAATACAGATTTTTAGACCTGTAAGTGCATGCAACCAAAACCTAAATAGCTTTAATTAGGCTATACAATAAAGTACATCGATTTTTTTTTTAAGCATCTAAATAGCTACTTCGTGCTAAAACTATTTATTTTGTCTACAAATACAGTTTCATATCAAGCAAAGAATATTCAGTGTTTTCATATTCAAGTTTCAAAATGTGTCAGGGAAGTAGATTCTAAAAAAGCTGAACTTTTTTTTTGTAGTATCAGGAAGGTCAAACCCAGTATCTCTGCAGCTGTCAATGTTTTTTGCAATTTTTTAGGTTTTCTGCAATGTCTATCTTGAATATAGTGTATAGGGCTTTCCAGGAGGCATTTAAACTTTTGTCCTCAACTCTTGGAAAAAAACACACACACACTCAATGCTGATGCATGGTATAAGGAAGGGGAGCATACCTGATGCCAGACACTGGTGAAAAAGTTAATGCTGTCAGCTTTTCTCTCAGTTTTCTGCAGTTACTCATATTATTTCTCATACGCTCTTTGCCCCATACATCTTGACCTCAGTTTCAAGTATTTCATATACCAAAATCCTTTTTTAAAAGTCAGTCTTTTAACATGAAGAAAATAGTCAAACAGATCTCAATGCTTGCACAAGTAAAATGAACCCATTTCCAAACAAATTTGCTGGAACATTTTTTTCTTCCTGCTTGTGTCAAACTGCCTTCAACAGAAATTACTCATTTTTTCTTTTAATAGGCTACATTCCTTAAAATTAAATTTGCTTCAGCATTGGGAAAACTTTATTTTGCTCTGTTTGATCATTATATTATTATTGGGAAATGGCTGGTACAATATGCATTTTTTCCAATAATAAAAAAATACACAGCAAAGGTGGACAGATTTCTTCCAGCAAATGTGTAATAAGTCCTTTATAGCAGAAAACTCTCAAGTCTTCTTGCCTTTTTTAATATACCTGGGAAATTCATAATTTTCATTGAAGTCACTCTGATGTTTAAGTCTCTAATTGAAAAGCAACTGTTCTGAGAGTTATGGAAGCAAGCTTTATAGTCACTGTTGATGTGGTTTTCCCCAGCCAATTTGTATTCTTTTGGGATTCTGATCAGGAAAAACCTCCCCCCCTGCTTTAATAGCTCCAACTGTAGAAACTTAATTTATTTACTGATTTCACACAGAAGTGTTGCAACCACACTAACAGCTGAAAGTCATCTAGTTTCTAGAGTTTCACCAGTAACTAGAACAATGAGATAACTGCATAAATGGGCTGTTACTTCTTTTGTATACAGGCAAGATATTTCAGGAAGGTACTTTGTCAACCCTGGTAATTCAGGGAAGCGTGCACTGTGAGTGAATACTGTTTAGGAAAGCAATAAGAAACTTTCATTGCAAAATTAAACAGAACATCTCAGAGATATACTAACACAGAAAGGAATTCAGCAGTGAGCTTTATGTGTATAGCTTTTTTTTTTTTTAAATACTTGCTGGCATAAAATGCTCTGAAGTTCTGTTTTCTTTACTAGTTTCTGTAGTAGTTCATTATTTGCACCTTCAAATCTTAACATTCTCACTGCTGTCACTTCATCTTTTTACCTTGAAGTGTTTATGCCCTTTACAGAATTTCTCTGGTGACTTCTCTTTTATGACCCATTCTTAAGTTATCAGCATTTTTAATGTCATTCAGGTTACGCTCATGCCTGACACTGTCATCCTTCCCTGGCAGATTGATGATAAACAGAGGAAGGTATTAAAGTCAAGATACTCAAGAGCAGAGCTGCTAAGTTGGAGAAAAATTCAAGCAGGTAGGTAGTTTTATCAATAGCTGTAATTTGTTCCTGAATTTTTTGTTGTTGAGGATGCTTGTTTTTGTAAAGATGTTTCAAATATTTATCAATTGAAATAAGTTATCAAGGCTAAAGCTAGGTAAGCTATTCCCATAGCAGTTGTTGCTGAAAAGATTATTTTCAGTGCTTTTAAAATACAGATGTACATCCAGCTCTGTTCTGAGACAGTTGTACAAATTATCCTCAAGTGTCATGCCTCTGGGCTATAGGGATCAGAAAGATTTTTTTCCGCTTTATACTTGCTTGTGGTCTTTACTAGTTAGTGATCTGAAGTAACATCTGTCTAGTTGTCTGTTCGTTTGCCCCAAACCACATCCAAAACCACTAGAAGTACAGAACTTTTCCCACATGAGACTTGGGAATTTGAGGATTTTTTTTTCCTTCTTCCACAACAGGCATTATGGCTTGCAGATTGGAAATACCTGAGCAAACCTCAGTTCCTTTCCAGTGTGGCATCTTCAGCTCTCTTTATCTCTGCCAGCAAGCAGACAGAACTGTGCTGCTTCCTGAGGTGAGGTGAGCTAGGAACCAAGGGTGACCACAGCATGGGTAGTATCCTCACCGACAGGGCGCAGTCCTGCAGCGGGACAGGCAGAGCTGGGTGCTGGGAACAGGCTCCATCAACAGTCACAGCAAGGGCACAAAGCAGGTCTATGGTCTATCCAGAGAGGCAAGTCAGGAACTGCAGGAGATGATGCCCAAAACAAGACTAGAGGAGAATCTGAAGTTCATTTAATAGTCAGATCCAGAAAAGAAACAAGGCTAGAGCCAGGACTCAAAACAAGCACACCTATAACATAGGTTAGACAAAGAGTGATTGCCTGGGCAGGCCTGAGCTTAAATGGAGCTCCTGGGCCCATGGACCAGGTGTGTGGGTGGAGGCCCCAGTTGAGGCTGGTCAGGGCCATTAATGACTGTTGGCACCCTCAGGACCCTGACAGTCCCTACCCGTAGCGTGTCAGTGAGGTCTTTAAGGAACAGAAATATTTGACTCTCCTAAGTCATTGAGTCTGCAAATAGAGTGATGCCAAATTTCTCTAGCTAAGCAGGCCTCTTCCTTTCTTTCAGGTGCAGGGAAGAGGTGTGCACTTCATGCCCTCTGGTATCACATGGCTTACTGCAAAAGTGCAGTAGACTTGAAGCATCCAAAAATGCTGGGTCGGTGCATGCAAAATTAGCCACGTCTTTCCAGATGTAGTGTTTACCAGCCAGGCACGGCACAATCATTCTGCACTCGTGCTTTATATTGCTCATGCACAATCATGCAGTGAAGTGAGGGCCAAGATTTCCAATAAATATGGAAACTGGTTGGGAACATCTGATAGGAAATATTTAGAATAAATGCAATGGACCTGTATAATGGGCATCAGAAGATGAAATCATAGTCCCTTCTGGCCTTACTTTATGTAAAATGGTATTAACACTTAAACTATCTGTGTTCAGCATGCTTACAAATGTTAACTTATTTTCAGCGCCAATCAGGCAGGTAGATACTATCTACAGAACCAGGGCCAAGAAAGACTAAATGAGGAAGTCATTGTGAAAACCACAATTAGAATTCAAGAGTTTCTGCATTAAACTCATGTTGTTCAAGACTTTTCTCTTTCAGATACTGCCAACTAACAATGCTGTGGGTGATTTATCTGATCATCTGTGTTACAAATACAAAGGCATTAGCGGTGGTTGGCTTGTGTTCAGCTGGGTTCACAAGCACAGCACCACACCAGTGCAGCATAGAGCTTCCTAGGTCACGTCTGGTCTGGGAGCAGGCTGGTCACTTTGTCACACTGGAGTGCGAGCTAATAAATGTGAGGGAGGCTTTGCAAGGTAGATGCTTTAATCAATGCTTTGTAATCACACAAGGAGCCAGCCCTAATGTCTCAGCATCACGTTTCAACTACGAGGGAGGCAGGGCTAGCCAAGGTAGGCCTGGTTAGATCCAATCTTTCCGTTACATATCAGCATAGGTGTCTTTGCAGTGTAATTCCTAGAGCTTTTGGTCTGTGGAGAGCTTGACTCAGGTTCAGCATCAGTGACACATCTGACCTTCCATAGCCTGGCCTGATGTTGTGCCTACTGCAGAAGTCTTACCCAGATGACTCTGCAGGACTGATTTAGGGATACTGATTTAACGTACTTGGATAGTTCTGTTTCCAGGGTCAGGGCCCTGAGGGCACTAATAGGCCTTAAAGGGCCTGACCAGCTGCACCTGGGGCCTCCACCCACATCCTCTGCCCATGGGGCCAGGAACTCTATTTAAACTCAGCCCTGGCTGAGCTATGTTTTAGAAGTATTAATACGTGTTATGGAATCTGTTTGGCCACTGTGCACCCTGCTCAGTATCTACTTGGATTGTGTCTATCCATGCTTACCTGCTGGGTCACCAGACCTGCTTCTGACATGCAGATTGACTTCTCAGTTCAACCTCAAACCTGCATCATCACCTGGAAGCTGACTGACCATCTGGACTCCTGGCTGAATCTGGATACTACCCGCAGGCCTGTCCTGTTTGCCTTGTGTGGGGACAATAGGGCTGGGTGCTGGCCAGTGAGGTCCTTGCCCTTCTGGCTGTTACTGTGTGGGGCTCCCTGTCTCTCAGGAAGCAGCTGCCCCTCACAGCTCCCTGATACTCACTACAGACTCAAATTTTGCCAGAGCTGCCTGCAGTGTGGAATTATTTATGAGTTTATGCACTGTATTCTTTGGTGCTATGTTGTCCAGTTTTATTCATTCTGCAGGTGTGTACCAATTTGCATGTTATTCTGGATAAAAACAGGGGGATAGTAGCACTGTGTCGGACCAAAGGTCCACCAGCTTAAAACTTTACCCGACAGTAGCCAGTAGCATATACACAGGGAAGAAGGCTCGAGTGGCGTACAGGGCTATTTCCTCAGGACACTCTGCCAGCATCAAGTAATGTGTAGCTAAAATAGTACTTTTGTGTTAAGTAGCTTTTGATTAAACTTTCTTCCATTAATTTTGCTTTTAAAAAAATTTAACCTGTGAAGTTTTTTGCATCTACAATGTGCTGTAGCAGTGAGTTCCATGGTTTGACAACACATTGCATGAAAAAGTAGCTGTGTTCTGTTCTGATGAATCTCTGATAAATTGACTTGATATCCTCTACTTCTGAGAAACAGCGAGTGATCACTCCCTGATAATGCTTTCCATGCTGCTCTTGTTTTTATAATATATTGGTTGGCACTTCACCCAGATTGCCTTCTTTCCAGGATGAAAGTAATTTAGCTGCTCCTTTTACTTTTGGCCACCCTTAATGTCTTTCTCTGTGCCTTTTTAGGTTCCACTATGTGCCTTTTTAAGCAGACCAGAACTGCATGTTATATTCAAGATGTAAGCAAATGATAGATCTGGACTAAATAACAATGGTGTACCGATGTTTCCAGTTCTGTTCTCCCCTCCTTTTGTAATGGTTCCTAACACTCCACTTGAGCAACCCAGAACAGTTTCACAGAAGTATCTGTCACAGTACCCAGGATCTCTATTTTGAATGGTAGTAGCTAATTCAGAGGCCATGATTTCCATGTTTCCCCCCATGTGCTTCACTTTGCATTTTAGTGAAAGGATTTCATCCACCATTTTGTTGCCCAGCCAGTCATTACTGTGAGCTCTTCTCCAAACATTTATACTCAGCTCTAGTTTTGGTAGGCTGAGTATCTTAGTGTTGCCAGAAAAGATTGGCACCTAGTGCTACTTCATTTCTAGGATATTTATTAGCGTTGAAGAAGACAGATCACAAGCATATATGTCTGTGGCTGTGAAAATGAACAATTTTTAATTCTTGTTTGTTTCCTAGCTTTTAGCAGAGTTTTTAATGGAGCAGTGATTGTACATGTTGGTGTTTGGGTGTTCGTATTACCCTGCTTATTCTAACGAAATGTTAGCCTTCCTGCTTGTTTTTCCTCCAAGTTACTAATTTCTTGCTCTGCATTTTGTTCAAGCCCATAACTTCCAACTTATTACCATGTTCCCAAGAAACATACTCAGCTTATGTCATTAAGGCTTTGTCATTAAGTTCCAGTTCCTTCTACTTTTGCTGCGTGCAGCACTTGGAGAGCAATAGTTCTTTTACTTCTCAAATCATCTATTATTTTATCTTATAAAAATAGCTTGTTACCTCTTCTTTTAGCAGGGCAGGTCTTTGGAATGACAGAAGTCTTGATATCCAGCCCTCTAGAAAAGCAGTCTTTTCAGCAAACTGTCAGATTGAGGAGGAGGATGGAATGGTTACATCCACCAAAGAACTCACGTGCATTGCCAAAATTACTTGCCAGCTGATCAGGCAAATGTTCAAAATTCAGGTGTATGTGTTGCTGCTTTCACCTTGTTGCATCTGAAATGTGTCTGTGAGCTTGGCTAAGATTCCCAGATTGTATTCCTTTTTCACTGCAAGGAAATAAAGGGGAGGAGGAAGGAGGATGGAGGTACAAATTGGTGATAGGGTATTTACCCACTGGCACTGAACTGCGACAGCACTAACAATTAGCTGTTACAGATCTGTGCCACTGCTTCTCCTTTCCCATGTGTCAATTAAAATAGATAGCAAAACACTGGCATTTAAAGCATCTTTATAGAAAGGGATGTGGACAGTACTGCTTTCTTGTATGCAGTAGAAAAGCCTCTCTGCAGGCTTGCATTTGAATGGGTTGGTTCACGTTTGAAGTGCTTTATACTACAACAGCTAGAGACTTAATAATGAAGCTTTTTTAAAAAAGTACTGCTAGGGTATATTGTTTCATAGATCCCATTTCCAACATCTGTTTTCCAGTCTGAAGAGGCGTTAGAGTTGGTGGCCTGCTTTCCACTCTGACAAAAGGCTGTAGTGATAATGAGTTGTGTAAGAAGGCTGGACCGACTCTTCCTCGTTATAACATTTTGCTTACCTGCTTCCCTCTGGGAAGCAGCAGCAAATATCATCAGTGGCTCTTAATGGATGAGATGGGGGATGGGGAGAGCAAGACTTCCCCCCCCACACCCCCCCCCTTCCTCTTCTCCTTGCGGGAGGGAGAGGGCAGCTCAGCAGCTCTTCCTCTCAACCTGCATCTCCCCAGGCGTCAGGGTGTGTTTGCTCCGCTTGTGGGACGGCCGGGCCCGGGTGGACGCCGGCGTTTGGGGGTCCTCCTGGGTGGCACGTGTAAGCAGACGGGGGTTTGGCCCCCTGGTGAAGCCCTTGCCTGTCACCGCTGACCAGACTTTCCCTCTTCCAGCCTAAAAAAAGGGATGATTTCAGAGGGTGTCGCCTCGGTGCTGGTCGGGAGGCATGCGGTGTCAAACTGCAGCCTCCGCAAGTAACGGAATAATTTGCCTTTTCTCTTATTATCGTCATTTTGTTTAGTTGTTGTTAAATAATCCCCGGCGTTACCGGCCTGGCACGCCGACTGCGGCTCTCGGGGGGCAGCCGGGAAGGGACTGCCGCCACCCTCGCGGCTCTTTGCCCTCGC